CATCTGTGATTCTTATTCATTAACAATAAAAATTTACATTCATGCCTTATTGTTCCTTTACCAATAAAAAGCATGGTATGCATGTATGGTGCGTACACAGCACAGGTATGAGATATAGGTATTACATCTATCTAACATGGGGTATCAGCAAAAGCATTCAGTGAATTCTCTTTATTTCTTTTTTCCTACCCATCCATTTTAGGTTTTTCAGCAGAGTTTTCTGATCCAGGGAGAATAATATAATGCTTGGAACAGAGCTACAAGGAAACGTACAAGCCATTTCACTACATAGTCTCGAATTTATTTTTAAAACAAAAATAAACAGAAAACTCCAGGCCTTTAAACTTCATTCTTAAAAAGTCTGTAACACTTAGAAACATAATATGTTTATGTCTATGTCTATGTTTATGTCTATAACATTCTTAAAAAGTCTAATTGCTGAGTGTGGTGGGTCACGCCTGTAATCCTAGCGCTCTGGGAGGCCAAGGCGGGTGGATAGCTTGAGCTCATGAGTTTGTGACCAGCCTGAGCAAAAGCAAAACCCCATCTCTACTAAAAATGGAAAAACTGAGGCAAGAGGAACTCTTGAGCCCAAGTCGGAGGTTGCTGTGAGCTATGACCCCATGGCACTCTACCCAGGGCAATAGCCTGAGACTCTGTCTCAAAAAAAAAAAAAAAGTCTATGACACTTATTAAAATATCTTAATTATCCAACTTCCCTCTTACTAATATCCTAGGAAAGCTTAACTATGAAAGCATTCCAACTAAGGCAGAAAAATAGTTTTTACCAGATGTTATTAAAGTCATAAATTTGTCAGATTTCTTGTAGGCTGTTTAGGCTCTTTTATGTTAGTACTAAACAATCTTAATAAAGAGGAATTTTTAAAAACTTTTTATTAACAATCTAAGGAGACATAATTTCTCAGCTATTTCATTCAAGTAACTTCAAAAACTATCCACTGTGCCCCCCACAGACAAACTCTGCAGATAACCTTCCATGGTGATCATCTAAGTCTGGCTTCAAGATGTTTTCATTACAAAGTGCTCTTTTACTGGGGGCTTTTTATTGGAGGATATGAGGCCATTTGAGTAATATATGGAGTAATAGAGGTTTGGTGATATTGTGAGATGAAAATCCAACCTAAGAGGAGCAGGGCTTCAATTCAATATTCATAGGCAAAAATGCCCCAATTCAATGTGGCCACTGAATCCTTCTCTCATTGAAAAGAAATAAGAATCTTTCCCTTTCTATGTTTTCATTTCCAATAATTTCAACCTTTCCACTGTTTGCTATTCTGAAGAACCTTGGGAATAGAAGCAAGGCCCAGGGTAAGTACAAATTGGTCTTCCTTTTGGCTGTGAGAATGGTAAAAGTGAAATCACAACCAGGAATGACCCCAGGAGAACGTGATAATGACCTGCTTCCAGGTGCAGGAATGGGGTAAGTAAGGGGTATTCAACAGACAACAGAGGAAGCCCTGCCCTGTGTGGGGTTTACAAATGGATGGTAAAACCCTTTTTACTGTGCAATGCCAAAATATTTAGAAAAAAATTATGAACAATTCAAACAATACTAGAGACATTAATTGGTGCTGTGGGAAGCAAGTGTAACAACTGACTCCTCCAGCCCGCCCCCACCTACAGTCATGCCTTCTGGATGTTTACCATTTGTATACATACAAATTGACCATTTTTATATCATCATTAGTAAGAAGAAACCTTGAGACTAGGTAAGCCTTGAATAACTTGAAAATAATTTTTAGAATTTTGTTTCTCATGTAATGTTAATTTTGTATATTTTTACACCTTTCTTCCTCTGGGGAAAATCAATGGTATCATTGTATAAGACAGGAGTAGATTATGAATATAGATCCTCTGAATCATACCAGGAGGTTTTCTTTCCATACCCCTACGGTTTTGATTTTTAAAAATTGTTCTTCGTGGTGCTATCAGATCTTCCCCCCAGTGCTATCATAATAGCCAGTGCCATACATTCATCTACCTTCAGAAGAATCCAAATCGATTTTTCCCAGATGAAAAACAGAAAGCTTGCTTTAAACTACCATGGTGCATCTGTCAGATAGATCACTGTGAATAAGTTTATAATCACATTATATAGAATATGCCAACCTAGAGTTTTCAAAAGAAAACTGTTTTTAGAAAACCTAAGTTTAACAAGAAACCGACAGGTGTTAGGATCACATTCCTTAGCTGGGGAAGTCACTGAAACATATTTATTTATTCATGGCCCGAAGGAATTTCAAAAAGTGCTCTCTAGAATAAGAAATAACTCATGGACACTAAAGAACTCTTAAATGCTACCATGATTCAGTTACTACTGTGAGATTAAAAATCCATTAAAATCTCTAAAACCATGCTGGGGAAAAGAAAGTGGAAAGGATCATCACCCCTTTTAATCATGGAAAAAAGAGAGATGTTGGGATTAAATGGATAACAAGCCCAGATAAGTAAAAAAGAAAAAAGGGTGGACAACAAGCGTTGGTGTGGGCAGGAGATTCTCCTCAGATTTAGACTGTTACACCCACGTGGACAAACCATTGATGAGATGATGGTTAAGAAGAAATGGATGAGATCACACAATCCTCAACACGTAGAAGTGATCGAACCCACAAAGCCAACTCAGTTTGAAGACACTTTTTATGTCCCATGTAAAGAATAAGGCAGCTTTGGGGATCATATTCTGTAGTCGCTTTATAAAAGTAGCAGCTACCATGGAATCTAATCAGAATTATAAAATGTTCAGCCTGAAGGTTTAATTTAAACAAATAAAGAATGGTATTTGAGTCCTACGGTCACAAGTACCATCTCCCTAGAGATTGGAGAGACTGGGGAGGACAGGACAGAAAAGTACCTCACAGCAATCATCATTCGTGGTTTACAGTTCTTAGGCAACTTCAGAAGAAAAGACTGTTCAGGGCTGATTCCCTACTCATGCACAAGACCTCTGTGCCTCTGTGACGTACGTGCGTTTTCACAGCATCAACCCCAGGCTCCTTTCTCAGGACAACCTCTCTATCTTAAGTGTGAAAACGCACAGACACACACATGCACGTGGATACACTCCGCCTTCCCCCGAGTCTGTGTTAAAGAAGACCACGCTCCATCACTCATTTCCTTTCTGACTGCAAAATAGGTTTATAATTTGTACCCAACACCTAGTTTTTCCCAGCTAAATCAGATGGATAGCATCTATGTAAATTAGCCAAATGTAAATACAATAGGATGTTAGTGCAGATAAACACCATTTTATAGAAACCATATAGTCAGAAAATTGATCTTTATAAAGCAAAGGCATCATTTTATGAAAACCTGTGCTGTAACATTCATTTAAGCAGACTGTTTAGAGTATTTAAAACATTTCTTTAACAAAAATTCCCTATTTTGTAAGACTAAGTACCATGTTATTACCCACTGTTGGCCTTTGGAAATTCTATAGTTTCAATTGGATTAAATGAACAGTATACAAGTCTCAAATATTCTTAATTTTTAAATATTTTAAAAAAATACTGTTCATAATTCTGAGAAATCTTGTTTTAATCAAAATGTGCTATTCTGGTTCTTTTTGCCCTAAAAGAAATATGTTTCTCATGAAAATGAAGCATGAGAGTAAAATCTATTTCATTTAATAGAGTCAAGACTACTCTTTTTTCCAGTAAAGGCCTTTTTTCAGTGAGTTAAAGTTGTGGCAGATTCTGTTACGGTTTACTAGGCTTCATTATTCTTTGAGTCATGTAACTAAATGATCACATGAAATAAAAACTCGGCAGTGCCCATCAATCAAAAGAGTCCTGGGCTTTCAGAGATCAAAAACCTAATGCCAAGAGGGAAGGATTCATCCTCAAAGGGCCCCACGGCTATTGATGTCGGAGTGATTTCAATAAGTAAAAAGGCGATTCACTAATGATACAATGTCTGGGGCCAAGCTGGCCATTCCTTCTTAAGGTCGTTAAAATCCAAGTTTCCACATCTTATCATCAGCCCTATGCTGCATTGCTGAGAAAGAAAAAACAAAAAACTAGTACACTAGTAGTCAATGACATCCGGATTAAACTATTAACCATTTACTTGTCATTTTGCCAACAGCATTTTTTTAAAGAACAAAACATAATCAAAGTAATTTGTGATTGAAATCACCCACAGGAACACGGGCCAGAGACACTGTTCAAACGTGAACTACACGCATCGCTTAGAGATGCAACGGACCTTACATTGTGGACTTCTGAATTCAGCTCTGTTTGTTACATAGGCATTATCCTCACTCAGGAAGCAGCAGACAAAAAACATAAAAAACGTTTCCCTTCAAACTATTGCAGCTGCTTCAACTAAGAAACAAAAGTTGTTAGAGAAATCATATATACACATACATGTAAAATTAGGGAAACAAGCAGCCTTATTGCCCTGATTTAAAATAAGCTCAATCAGTAAAAGAGAAAAATGCTATACTATTCAGCTTGATGAGCAGCTGAAGGCAAAAATACACTGAGACACAGTTTTAGAATTCAGGATATATTCTACGCCGTGATGTTTGAATGAGATGAAGGACATTTCTCTTCTTGATTTTTTTTAAACTACTGAATAAACGAGTGGGATTTATGCAGAAAAATGTAACCCCAAATAGACAGACATATAAAAAAATGTTCTTAAATATGATCTGAGGCTACAAAGGCATAAAAAAAATACAGTTTTTCCTAGTTAATTCTAACTTATAAAATTAAACCATTTTTAAAATCCTCATGAGAAGTCTTAATGAAAAGGGTAATTTTCATAAGTCAACAATAAAATATAAGTTATATAGAATTGATTACTAACAATCATCCTCTAGTAGAAAAACAAATACATCAACTAAATTGCAAAGCAAAAAATAAAATATAAATTAATGAAATGACAAAGGTCCAATCCACAGGCATTTTCATCAACTTTTCAAAGATATAGGGAAAAAATACATTGAAAGTACTTGAAAAACATGAAAACAGTCTTACTCTTGACGGTCGCGGTCCGGGTACAGTTGTAAAGAATAGCTAACTCCCCGAACACTTTTCCTGGGCCCATGGTGCACAACTTAACACCTTCTTTAGTAACTTCAACCTTCCCATCTGAAAAGAAGGAGAGAAAACATATCATCTCAATTCAGTGTCATGCGTCCATTCTTTCATTATATTTTCAAGATAAGATGAGGAGTGCCAGGCTCATTTACAGAAATGTGAAGTAGGTAAACAAAGCTGTCTTTTGTTTGTTTTTGATTATTTTTTATTTCAAAGTATTATAAGGGTACAAATATTTTTGATTACATGGACTGCTTTTAGAACACTTGAGTCATGGTTGTAAGTGTGCCTGTCTTCTCAATAGTGTTCATTATAACCTTTAGGCTGTCACCAGGATGAAATGCCAGCAATGAAATAAAACATAGGTTAAGAAAACCACATCTTAAATTCATCACTGATAAGATTTGAGATGAGACTCAAAGGAACAGCCGGAAAAGAGAGAGAGGCAAAATATGCCATTGTTGCAAATGTGATATTAGTAAACTATGGTAATTCTGATTTAAACATCATTTTGAATCTGAAAGAAAACTTGAGCAAGTGGGTACTTTTTCTCAAGAACACTTCACAGTTAGAAATTCTCATTTAAGTAAGGAAGCTATTATAAAGAGAGAAATTACTTTCACCCACAGGCCTCAGTCATTGTAACTCATGGTATCTTTTTATTTTTAAACATCTTATCTGACTTACACGGACAGTTTTCCCTGCTTCTCAGACCTGCACTGTTGACTGTAAGAAAAAACAAACTACAAAGGATGACGGAACCGAGCGAGGTGTTAGGACTTCTCTATTCTACATAGGAGATGATAAATGAAATGCCAAAGATGGAAAAAAAAAACCCAAGGAAACACCGTACACTGGATATGCATTGTCCCCTGCAAGGAAGCAAAATGCTATTCAATGGGGAAATGAAAAAAATATTTTCAAAACTCATAACTATGTAGATTATCACCCAACACAGCCAAGGAAAAACTAAAAAGGCAGCACAATCCAGTCCTGACCTACCCATTTCCTTCCATTTTTCTCCAAGTTACTTATCCACTGTCTACAGAAGAAAAGCCTAAGAATCAACTTGAGATTGAAAGTTACTTCGTAGGCTACACACTATCTTCCAAACTCCAGAGCTTCACGCATTGACTTCAAAATGGTTCCTTTATCTGTGCACATCCTGTGACACTTAACATTGTAGAGGGTTAGCATGAAATTCACTCCCTTTTTAAAGCAACTTAGTTTTATCTAAGCAATAATATTTGTAAAATCTTAGGTTTGATGAGCTCATTTTTTCAAAGACTTATTGAAATAAAACATGAAACAAGTGTAAAGTTTAATCCACGTTCTAGTGATGCAAGATCCGTCCTTCCTGTTCTACCCTGAAAACACTAATGACTAAGGAAGAATTACACAGTCATTCAAATAGAAGTCCACCAAAAATCTACTCACTATTTTAGAAATATGTATGGATATCCTCCTCTGTATGTAAAGAAGCTATTCTTGAAAGAGCAAAGTCAACAATTCAAAAGGGGTGGAAATACTTGCTCACGTACATGTGGCCACTCAAACATTCCTGCTTCCTTAAGCCTTATTTCTTGGCTGTAAGAAAGAAAAATTCCTCCCTTTGATAGGCACATCAAAACTGTTCCAGTAAGTCCACTTTTTCATTAACTTCTGACGCCCCCAGTGTAATTTGCTATGCTTCCTTTCAGTGGCAAGTTTATTCCTTTGGAAATTTCACCTGCCACCAAAGCATGAGGGATAGAGCAGAAGATTAAAATTATCTGGCATTAGACCACAAGTTGAGTTCTAGTTCTCTAATATTTGTTCCTTATCAGCCATATGACCTTGGGCGATAGCTTACCTTCTCTATGCCTCAGTTTCTCCTTTAATAACATGGATACAGTAGAAACACCTGTCTCACTGGGTGGTTAAAATTAAATGAGGTAATGCATGGGTATATACCACACCTCCCTGAGTGAGGGGTTCTTTGACTACTGGAACTTTACTTTGAAAGTGAGAGCTATGTAATCTAAAAATTTATACCCTCATATTAATTTAAAATAAAAAAATAAAGTGAGGTAAAATGCTTAACACAGTGTTCGGCACATAGCAAATGCTTAATCAGTGTTTGATTTTGTTGCTGGTATTTATTTTGATCATATTCCTCTTTCATCATTCGGGTATGACTTAACTAGAATACATTGAAGTACAATATTCCATCATCGACTACAGAAACTAACCAAGTTTCTCATTTTTCTTTTTAATGGAGAATTTGTTTTTGGACTCTTTCTCTAAGGGGATGGGAGATGACTTTTTATATCAAAGCCCTATCACACCTAAAGAAGAAAATAGATAGCTGAGAAATCTCACTGATCTACGTGGAAGCTGCAATGTCTCTGTACTTTTCCCTATCTGCCTTATCAGTCCACACAGGCAAAGCGGATGTAATGTTTCATCACCCATTACTTACAGTCTAGTGGTAGGTACTCCCGAGAATAACAGAGTTACAGCTTTCCAAGACATTATAAAATCAATGATCTAAAGCTCTAGTGTCAATTATATTAATAGAAGTAAAAGCAAGTGAACAACACTGACAGAACATTCACAAGTAAGCGATTTTGTGCAAATCCACTCTCTCTTTGGGTTTGATAGTTTAAAAAGTTTTCAGTGAAAGGGACCCATGGGAGTAAGATCCCTACTAAGAATTCTGCTGGGGCTGGTGCAGTGGCTCATGCCTGTAATGCTAGCATTTTGGGAGGCCAAGGCAGGAGGATTGCTTAAAGTCAGGATCAAGACCAATGTGTGCAACATAAGGAGACTCTACCCTATGTCTACAAAAAGTTTTTTTAAAAAGTAGCTAGGTATGGTGATACACTCCTATGGTCCCAGCTCCTTGGGAGGCTGAGCCAGGAGGATTGCTTAAGGCCAGGAGTATTAAAGCCACAGTGAGCTATAATTGCATCACTGCACTCCAGCCCAGGTGATGGAGGAGACCTTGTCTCAAAGAAAAAAAAAAGGGGGGGGGGGATCCTGCTAGGCTGTTAGACTGTTTGGGAATTGCTCTTTCTTGAACAAGGACTAGCCAGTAACAGACAAGCAGGAACATCAGGACTGCGGTTTTAGTTCAGTGGTTCCTAAAAGGAAATCTGTGGACCTATCATAACAGAATTAGTTATAAAATTCAGATATCTTCCTCTAGAAAACTGTAAATGCCCCTCTATCACCATCATCACCATGCTCAGTCCTGCTGCCACTTCCTTCCCTGAAAACCATGCTCATTTTTTAAGTTATGGATAATTAATCTTGTAGCTGGTTATGTTTCCTATTCTCATATGACCTCTAGAAGGCTCACAGACTGTGTAAGATTCTGAAGTCTAAAACGTGTATGCAAACTCACTTCTACTTCCAACTTATCTTCTTGATCTTATTTTGTATTTGCCTAAATTCAATTCCCTATGTTTATTTTTTATAAGGTGGGTATAAATTATTTATATATGTGTGTGTGTATGTATGAATATTCAAACATGGTAACAGAAAGTTGTATTGCATACTAATTAGAATAACTAAACATTTTTAAAAATACTTAAACAGATGGTATTTGAGAAATGGCCATTTTGATATAAAACATCTTTTCCAGGTTAAGTTAAACAGTGGAGATTCAACATATTCACAACATTCAAGGAAGTAAGGGATCTGATATCATATGATAGCTGAGAATGCTCCAAAAAGTACTGTATTTTTTTTTTGTAGTAAGACATTTATAATTTACTCGTAGTTACTTTAAGTATACCCTTGCTTTGTACACATTAGGTGAGATCCCATCAAATGCCCTCCCTCCTCCCACCAACCGCCCCCCCCTTTCTCTTCCCCTCCCCTCTTGCTAGACTATATTTGTGTTTTATCATTCGTACAAAAGTGCATTTATATATTGGCTTCATAATAGTATTCAGTACATTGGATATTTTTTTTCCATTCTAGACATGCTTTACTAAAAAGGATACATCGCACCTCCATCCATGTAAACATAAAAGGTGTAAAGTCTCCATCTTTTAATGGAGACTAATTAAAATACTATTTTAATGCCTGCATAGTATTCCTTGGTATACAAATACCACAATTTGTTAATCCATTCCTGGGTTGCTGGGCATTTGTGGTGCTTCTATGACTTGGCAATTATGAATTAAGCTACCATAAACATTCTGGTGCTACCATAAACATGTCTTTGTGGTCAAATGATTTTTGTTCTTCTGGATAAATACCCAGTAATGGGATTGTAGGATCACACCTCTCGCCACTAACAAAAATTGATTCTCACTGGATAAAAGATTTAAATTTAAGTCACGAAACTATAAAATGCTAGAAGAGAGTGCAGGGAAAATTCTTGAAAATATTGGACTGGGTAAATATTTTATGAGGAGGACCCCCCTGGCAATTGAAGCAACACCAAAAATAAATTACCGGGATTTGATCAACCTAAAAAGCTTCTGCACAGCTAAGGGTACTACAACTAAAGCAAACAGACAGCCTTTGGAATGGGAGAAGGTTTTTGCATTTTATGATTCCAACAAAGGTCTGATAACTAGAATCTATAGAGAACTCAAATTAATCAATAAGAACAGAACAAACAAACCCTTTTCTTTGTGGGCCACAGACTTGAACAGAAATTTCTCTGAAGATGACAGATAAAAGGCAATAAAACCATAAAAAAAAAACCTCTTTGTCTTTAATCATCAGAGAAATGCAAATCAAACAGCTTTTAGGTATCACCTAACCCCAGTGAGAATAGCCCACATCACAAAGTCCCCAAACTGCAGATGCTGGCATGGATGTGGTGAGAAGGGAACACTTCTAAACTGCTGGTGGGATGGAAAGAAGTATGGAGAATCCTTAAGGAATTAGAAGTTGACCTTCCATTTGATCCCACTGTATTTTTTTAATGAGCAGAAAGACATAAATGGAGAACAGAAACCCAGTACCTGTAACTTGTTAGCCTGAGTCATAATTGGACTGTTTATCCTTCTTCATACCCATTGTGTGAATGAGGAGTGAGTAATTCAGGG